ACCACTTTTCCAAAATGTGCTTGCTTGGTCTAAAGCTCGAACAGAATTTTCAGGGTTACCAACTTTCTCATAAAGCCATACTAACAATCCTACATAACCCGGCCTATATTTTTCTGCATCATCTTTAATTGATGATAAATAATTTTCAAATGTTTCTAAAGCACTTGTAGGATTGGATTGTAAAAGTTGAAGTTGTATAATAGCAAAATTAATAGATAATGATTCCGGTTTTAACTTTGCAAATTCTTGTAACTCCTGGATAGTTTTTGTAACCTTTTTTTGACGATAAGAGATTGAAGCTAAAATGAGATAAAGGTCATCATTTTCAGGATAAGCTTCTAGTAACCTACGAGTAACATCTTGGCATGTATTATACTAAATGAATAAAATTTAAATATAAAAAATTTTGTATAGTTGATAATTAATAGAGAAGAATAAATTAGAGACTATGATTAATATAAACAGACCTTATGCATATACAATGATAATAATGCTTCATTCATCGCGATTACGCGACGTTGACTTCTAAACAATTTAGTATCTAATGTAGTTGCGCTTGCAACTTTCAATTTACGAGCAGAATCAAACAATTCACTATCCTTTTTAGCAGCGACAAAATTATTAGATGCAATGGCTGAAACAGTCATATCTGTCCCTCTACAAAATTGATAAATGAAATCAACAAACCGTAAATTTATTATAGCGTATTCAATCCCACCATGAACTTACTTAAACTTGAGTACACTTTGATAAAGATCGATGGCTTCAGTTATTCGGCCCTGAAGTTGATATAAATATGCTAATTGTACATTGATTGTGCCTAATTCTTGTTCAATCTCTTCCTCGCTATAATCATCTTCAGTCAAAGATTTTCGACATATATCTATAAAAATTATTCTAATATAATTATTAACTTGATATAAATTTATGAATCATCTTTGAGAAAAGAAAATTTACTATACTTCTTGCAGTAATCAACAATTTTTCTACTTTTTTAAAATCTTTTCGCCCGAGATATGTACAAGCATAATTATATGCCAATTCATAAGTATTAACGGAATCCGCCATTGTATACTAAAAAAATTTGTTTGAATACTTATTCATTATTATGATTATTTTTTTTCTTTTCAGGTAATTAAATAATGTAAATCGCGTGTACCTTTTCATTTAATTTTCCACCAGAAAACAATAATGCGGCTTTAGCAGCATTAAAATTTGTTAAAATGTCATTATACGTATCTTCTTTCTGAATAATTTTGAATTTAAAATTTCTGCAAATAAATTTAAATAAAAGGTCTATCCACTATATTTGAAAACCAAGATAGCGTACCGAGTCTGTTTCCTGAAGAAGACTATAATATGTTTCCAAAGAGGCATTATAATCTTCAAGTTTGTACGCCTTATTTAAGGCATCAAAAAATAATTAAATTAGTATAATCGGTACAAAAAATAATACATAAAAAAAAAAAAAGATAGCAAACCACTTGTGCCTCCAAATGTCTCAATCCACTATCATTAACTCCAGCAGTTCGGTACTTACGAAAAAGTTCTGCACCCTCAGAAAATTTGTTTAGCCTATAAAGACAGTACACTCGCTCAAGAGGGAGTTGATCTTCAGAAAGGTTTTTCGTAACAAGATCTAAGGCATTTTGATATTTTCCAAGCTTAAGGAAGATTATGACTTTGCAATGAAGTGCATCAAAGTCGTTTGGACTTAAATTGAGAACTATGCGAAGGGTACCATAAACGCAAAATCAGTAAAGTTGAATTAAAAATTCTTAAATTAAAAAAAATAAAAGTTACTTTTATCAATAGATTTGAGTGCTTTGGCATATTCGCCTTGATTTATTATTCGTTCCGCATCGCTAAATAATTGTGTTATAGTAGCTTCTTTCGATAAATTGTCTTGGGCTGACATATTAACATTTACGTTTATCGTTATCGTTATGCCAAAATCTCGATTACTGGGACTACGTATCAAAAATTTTTAAAAAATTCATGTGATTTCCTAATCAAGTTATTCTATTGGATTTTCGTTACGTATACAGAAATCACAAACAAAACGTGTTTTTGTTTACTCAAGTCTCTTGTGCATTTCTTTGAGTAAACATTAATATTCAAGTACATGCAATTTTTCACTCTGGAGACATGCTGTTACGTTTTTAAA